TAGTAAAAGCCTTTTGAGGTGAATTCTTGGCATGAATGCCTGAATTTGGACTTGAAATAGGAGAAATTCGAGTCTTGATTCCGAAATCAGCCGGAGATTTTGGGGATTCAGCTGGAGAATGTGGAGGCAATGGACATAAAACTGGAGAGTTTCGAGTCTTGATTCCCAAACCAGCTGCAGATTTGGGCGATTCAGCTGGAGAAGGTAGGGGAAATGGGCTTAAAGCTGGACAGTTAGTATTAATTCCGAAATCAGCGGGAGAATTGGAAGATTCAGATGGAGGTGGTGCAGAGGGATGAATATGATGATCAGAAGGAATTTTTACATTAAGTTTTACTCCAAACAAATTCATTCTGCTAATTGGCTTACAAACATTTTCTTGATAATTGATAGAGTCAATTAGGGCAAGCCCAATCCCTTGCGACTCCAATTTACTACTGATTTCTGGAAAATGATTTGTGGGTTTTGACAGGTTTTTATGATAACCAAATGGGTTGTGAAAACTTGGTGAATTTTGGTAATCAAGAATTGATTTTGGGCTGCTTAAACTTTCTGCATCAAACATAGCTTTCGTTAAAATTCCATTGAAGAATCTTGGAGGACCCATGACACCTTGTTTACTGCTCACTGCTCTAGATCTATTCCCCAGCATTTCCAATCAAATTTCATCTGCAAAATTAAGAAACTACTAAGACTTCAGTAATTTTAATAATTGAGTGCTATTCTGAAACCATTAAAAAGGGTTCCACTTTCTCAACATCAAAAGAATAGACAAAAGTTTGCTTTCTCCTCAAAAGTAGATATTTATAATAAAACCCAAAAATAGCCTGCTTAAGTCTCTTTAGCCACCATACTAATAGATATAAAAAAAAAACCAATAGATCCTTTATATATTCGGCCTCTTTCTTCCCTCGACTAAAACATAAGAATTTGTCTTCTTTACCATTTTCAAGTCACTTTCTGTTTTTAATTTTTCAAAATAGTAAAAATGTGTTCTCTTTCTCATTTTCGATTTTTCAAAATATTTTTCAAGGTACCAATTTCAGCTGTCTAGTTAGTGTATGTGTGTTTCTTCAGTGAGTAGCCATTATTGTAACTCACGTCCTTCCTAAATGTCAAATCTCAGCAAAATCGCCACGGCTTGACAAATTGCAGAGGGCTTCTTTCTGGTGCCTTTTTAAAGAAGTAGATGCCTGTGCAGGAAAAAGAATGATGAAAATAAAAATAAATGTCAAAGTGAAGTTTGTATAAAATAATAAAATAAATTAATTTTACTGAATTTGGAAATGCAGAAGGTTAACTCAGGTTAGTGAGCAGTACTTGTATGAGCACTACTTTACTTTGATACGAAATTTGTGTACTCTGTTCAGAGCACTGAAAAATGTCCTCATGGGCTCTGTCGTGTGTACAGTGAATTTTTTTGTTCATTTTTTAATGAGGTCGGTCCCGCATGGGTAGTGGTGGCAAATGAGCCGA